GGGCTGGGGCCGTGCGGCAACAGGCCTCCTTTTTGGTGAGAGTCCCCAGCAGGTGCCAGGCAGTTCCAAAATGGCCAGTCTCAGCCACAAACATCTAACCGAGAAAAACAAACTGAGAAAACTGGTCACCAGGGAGCTGTTTGAAGAGCGGGGAGCCAGCCGCAGGCTGCCGGTGCCTCGCCGCGGGGCAGGGGAGCGCGGGCGCCTTCGGCCTAGCTGCCCACCTCCGGGTCCCTGCCAGCAGGAAGGCAGAGGCCAGGGCAGGGCCCGGCCTGCGGACATGTCATGAGGTAGAAGATGGGAAAGTGTCACGTTTCGCTGTTAGAGTCGGTCAGAAATAAACTGACTGACGGCACAAATCCCGGTATGTTTTCAGGGTACTCCAGGGGGCACCTAAAACCCACCCGGTATGCCCCAAAATTTAGATCCCCAAAGGAGAAAGCTCTCCTATGATCCATGCAACAACTTTAACCCAGGCAACAAAAAAAAAAAAAACCAACAATTTTTCTCACACTTGTACCCTTAAAGCATTTAAATTCTGAGCAGGGGAAATCAAATTGCAGGGGTGCACGAGAGGGCAATTAATTTCCCTTGGCCTCAGCCTTTGGTACTGCCTCACTTACGGTGAACTATGCAAAGGCTTGTCCACCGGGCAGCGGGCTAATACATTCATTTTCCAACATCAGCCAGCAGACAGCAAGCATCTTGGTCTCTGACGCACCACACAGCACAAGAACCTGAGAGGCCAGAGGTTTTATATCACACTACCAACCCACACAGTCCTGTAATTTGTAAAGGTATCTGGCTGGTTCATCAGAGAAATGTCCTGAGATTTTTTATCTGCTAAACTCCTGCACTCTGAAGGCCTTCCTTCACCTCTTTCGTAGTGCACACTAATACAAAAACAAAGAGACTGTAAGTCCTGTTACTTAAATTTTCCTACTCCTCACACTTTTGCAGTGTATTTCTAGATTAGTAAGTTGACTTATGTTTCCTTAAAATGCTCAGGGAAAAATTGAGGGTTCATCTGAGTATTACAGGCTCATGATCTGTGACGGGCATTTTACAGTGTCAGAAAACTTCTCACTTGATAATAACATACTGACAGTCAGGGGAGCGTTCCCTTTTCTAGTACTAATAATCAGCATTAAGGCATGCCACAGTTCCTACAAGAAACCTATGATCCTTACAGCTTTAGCTGTCATCTTTCTGCAATAATGAAATGTACTCCAATTTTATGCATATGTATCAATAAAAAACAAAAATAATGGCTCTCAAAACCACCAGCCTCAGTTATAGAGCTTCTGTCACACAGGTGAGTACAGCGATTCATGTTAGGGGCCCAAGCTGGTGAAAGGGTTTTCATCCCCTGTTGATGTTTGTCCCTTGCCCCACACCGTCTTGCTGCCCTTGGGTCAGCACCGTTTGCCATCTCGATGGCATGGCTTTCCCTGCACTTCTGGAGGCCACAGCCAGCCAGCCCCTTCCCATCCTGAGGGCAGGATGGGAAGCAGCACTGTCCCCACCACCCCACCTCAAACTGCATGTCAGGCCCTGCAGGCAGTATCCATGTACTCACCAGCAGGCAAAGGACAGCTAAGGAGGAACCTTCCTCCTCCGTGTCCTGCTTCTCAGGCTATTTCCTTCCTCACTCTCACTGATGACAACAGGCTGAAGGCTTCTCCTTACATCTGGAAGCTATGCCATTTATCTACCTTAGAAATTCAATCCTGAGTCCCAGATGACACATCCAGAGGGATGTAAGCTCTCCAAAGATGACTGTAGAGATGCTGGCCACTGTTGAGTCCCTGCCTGTGAACATGCTCCATAAAATGACATAAACTGGCAAAATCATCTACTGGGCAGCAGCACCGCCTAATAAGGCTGCTCATTTAATTACCAAATAACACTGAACTAAATTGGCAGTTAGAGCAGATAGCATCTGAAGCAGCATCTCTTTTGCAGGGCCAATGTTAAAGCCTGGGTACCACACCACGCTATTTACAGTGGTCAAAGGCACGAACCTGGAGCAGTGCAGCTCCTGGGGCCTTTGGTCAAAGGCACCCGCGCTAGCACCTGTGGCCAGCACGCAGGAGGGACTGAACTAGGTGAGTGCCGGACTCAGGTGCTGCACATGTCAGCCAGGTGCTGACATGAACAGCCAGGGAAGAGGGAATGAGGAACCAAGTGGCAAAACAGCGGTTGTCTCTCCACGTGAGGACCCCACGTTTCCACCTGCCACTTGTTATTCTGAACCTTCTGCTGCCACATATTCCTGGGTAAAGGGGGCATAAAGGGGATCTCCTCCCCCCTTCCCAAGAGAACTCTTCTGGGTATGACACAGTGGGGAAAAAAAAAAGTATCCTTTTAAAAATATTTGATATTCCCAATATCTGAGACTTAACTCATGACTGACAAGGCTGTGACAGTGAATCACATGTTTCTAAGACCCTGCAGTCAGAGACTGTACAGAACTCTTCATTCATGTTTGGCTTTGGAGGGGGGACACACATATATATAGTAACAGACATATATGTTAACAGGACATATATATATATATATAGTAATCACTCTTCAGTAAGAACTGACAGCAGTGCACACAACAATCTCTATTGGTTTTCTCAGCACTGCAAGAGCACAACTTTAATGTTCCACAGAAACTGGCTGATAACACTGGCATCAGTGTTTTTGGCTACTGTGCCACAGATCTGTGACTAATAACATGTACCCTTGATCATCCCATATGTTGAGTCCCATGTCAGCCAGTAAACTGCTTGATATTTTTAACCTCTCTATTTCCTGACAATTTATTTTTTACAAATAAAGTAGATTTTATTGAACAAACCTTAGTAAGCTCCTTCCTGACCTTTTCTTGCTGGTTATGAGAAGGCTGACAGCCTAGTGATATAAAACTGAAGTTTCAAAAGGACTAGTAAAATGCAGAGAGCCCCAGTATAAGCAAAGCCCTGCAGCTGAGCTTGAATTTCTTCTGGCATTCATACTGAAGGAGAAGAGTTCTGTCTCAGCACCCTTATGCTTTTCCACTCTATGGGTCTTTTGAGACTCTAAACAAGAGGTCAGTTAATTCAAGTTATGGCAGTTTTCATACAAAGACATCTGTCCACCAGGAACTAAACTTCTTTTATATGGGTCACTATAGCTATCAGAAGTTAATGACTATCAATCATTGCTAATCTGAACCGAAATGGAGCCACTGACCTCAAGCTGAAAGAGCCTTTTGTCTCCTGCCACTGCCATGAGCCATATGGTTCCCTGCCCTTTGCCTCTTATTTTATATTTTAAATAATCATCACTAATTGTACAATTGTTTGAAAACATGGGAGGTTTGTGGCAAGTCATGACCAAGTGGTTTTCTCTTTTCCCTTAGCTCTCACCCAATAGAAGAGATAAAATTAAAGGATAAAAATGCATCTCTCTTGATTAAATATTAGCCCTGCTATTTGATTATTGGTCCTGCTTCTTAACAGTCTACCAAGTAGACTGTTAATAATCCTGCAGGCTGCAATAATTAACAGCTTCCAAAGTGTCAAGGTCGTTCCTGTTCTATGTGGGAATAATAAGAAAATTATATAGGCAAGACACCAATGGAATGTTTTATATTAGGATAAACGAGTATCCGAGGAACCTACTTATCACAAATCTCTTTTTATTCAGTGGTTTTCATTATTTTATATTAGTTGCATTTTCTCTGGCACGTTTTTCCTTTACAACAAGTGCTCATATACTGCAAACATTTGATTATAGAGCTTAAGAAAAAAACCATTCTTGTCAGACAAATAAACTGCATCACCAGCTATCTTTAGCTGCATCTGTTTTCTTTAATGAAACATATTTTCCTGTGAAATGCTGCCTTAAAAATCATGACCATACTAATTATCTATGGCAAGCACATCTTCCTCAACTAATGACAGCTCGAGCATATTATCGTTTGCACCAGACTTCATTCTGAAATTGAAAGACCCATAGAGCTTCGCAGACTCCTTGGAGGACGCAAATCTGCTCCTCCGGTACAGCTCCCCTTTCCACATGGACATCATCAGCAGGCTGGAGAGCACCACTCCCCCCAGGGTTAAGAGACATAGCCCGGCAATAACACAGCGGTCCAAGTGAGCCCCGATCCTTGCGCTCTCGTTCTCCAGCCTCTCCATCTCCCGGGCAGCCACGGTGTTGGGATCCACAGTCACATCTCTGGGTACCACGTAGGAAATGATCACCAGCAAAATGCCACTAACCAGGAACAAAATGGCACTAATGAACCCGTAGTCCACAGATTTCCCAGCTGCAGCCTCTGAGGCAGCATCGTCCTCCTCGGAGGCCAGGGAAGGAGAATCGTGCACCCACTCGGGCGGCAGCTCCCTGCAGGAACGCTGCTGCAGAGGAGCATCCTGGCAGCGGCTGCCTGTAGGACTGGGGGGGCTTCTTGCATGCTCCAGGTTTACGTTTTCATCCACGTAAGTGAACGATGTCTCCAGTTCCTGGGCACAGCAGCAGGCTTTCTTCTTCCCTCCATTCTCTTCCCTGGGCAAGAGGTTGGGCAGGTGGCAGGGCTGGGACGTGCCAGGGGGTGCAGGGTGTTCCTGGGGTGAGGTGCCTGGGGGTGAGTGCTGGGGTGCCACAGGAGGCTCAGCCACAGGGCCCCTCTGCAAGGGCTTGCAATGCCTTTTGCAGCGCAGGGCTGCCACGGCAGCGGCAGCTCTGGGGTCCACCTCACCCCCCTCATGCTGCTGTTGCTCACAGGGAGGGGAGGGCATGCTCCAGCCGGTAGCGGTGCCCAGGGGCGCCTGCCTGCTCTCCTCGGCCAGGTAGAGAAGCTCCATGCAAGCCATCGACCTCGTCCAGGCCAGCCCTGGCTCCTGGGCTACTGCATTCTTCAGCGAACGCTGCCCCCGACCTGCTGAAGCGGCTTCACAGTACCGGAGCTGCTGTATCCCAGAAATCTTCTACTCTTTCACCACTGTTTTGTTAGGGACATGGCTTGTGTCAGCTGTTAAATGATTAAACAAATCCTCTCTGACATTCATTTCTTTTCGGTCTGCAAATGAAATAGTAGAGGGGAAAAAATGCAACAACAACAAAAACAAACCCGACAACCTCATGATGATGCATTAATAAACCAAAGAGAAGATAACGCAAATGTGATACATCAGTCTTCCTCTCAACTGTTCGAGGGGAGACAACAAACACAATTGTTTTAACCACACATTTAAAAGTGCAGTCCTCTTGCAGATCCAAAATCTATTAGGGACTGTAATCAACCTTTGACATCAATATCCAGCTAAGGCAGTAAGTCATCCACAGAGCACAGGGTAACCAGAATAACTGTGTAAAATGTCAGATAAAAGAGACGTTTGCTCTTTTAGAAGCAAGTAACTCCCCCACCCCCTTCTAAATAAAGAATTTTAAACTCAGATTCACAGACTAATTAGAGAGAAACACACAAATCCCATGTAGCTCAATAATCCTGGATCTGTATTCTCGGTGGAAATCTGATAATCCTATGGGAAAAGCAGTGCTTTCCTACAGCAGAGCTCCTGTTCGATTAAGAGCTTTCGGAATGAAATTACGCGTCAAAAACGTATGACTGAAAGACGGATATTACTTCTCATCTGCAATTAATTCTTTATTGCCCCCTTCTTCTGCGCCCCATCCCCCCTCGAGGCCGAATGCCTGGTGTCATTAGAAGCCTGCAGCCCGATAAATGTGTTGCATGCGTAGAAAACACATGTGCGCCGATAGCATCTACGTGATCGGTACCAGACGTGGCTCACTCACGCTCTTCTCGGGACCTCAGCGGGAACCGGCCACGCTAGGACACGCGATCCCGGCCGGCGCGGGGAGCAGCCGGATCCACACGCAACTGTGTGACCCGAGTGGTACAGAGGTTACAGGCGCGCAGCGGCGCGCAGCCACGCACAGGCACACACGCACACCCCGGCCGGCAGGAGCACCACGCCGCCGCCGCCTCCTCCCCCTCCTGCCCCCCGCGGGCTCTCCCCTGCC